GACTGCATCAGCAGCTACTACATCTCGCTAACTGGAATGATAAACTCTCTACGTGCTCGTTTCTAACTGGAATTGGCCATTCATAGCTCATCTGGTTGTCTGGGCTGTACAGCATAACATTTGTGGCACTTCAAAGCAACACTTCAACAAAAAACGAGCTTTGTTCTGATGAATTTATCCTCAAAGAATTTTTCGGATCCTTGCCTAAACGAGCAGGGAGTATTGCTTTTTTTGACAAAACTAGGAAGTTGAGTGTTAGCGGGAGGCTCAAATATTATTACAACAGTGTTCCCATCTAGACAGAAAAACTGAGAGTTAAGGAGATTAAGTACTCACGGGAAATGCAGATTATAGGATATAAAATTATCAAACAGACTCTCCTAGTTTGAAAACACCAGTTTGCATAGACTAAGAATAAATTACACTGCAAAATGCAGAGTTCTGCTTAGATTACCTTTACTTTAAGAAAACACATTAAAAAAAAAAATCAGTGTTATACCAAGTGTAACCTCAAAGGAAAGAAAAAAAGAAAAAACCAGCTTCATAAGCATTAACATCTCTCGCAGCACAAACACACCGTTGCTGGTGGGATCCTCTGCTGCAGTATACGGGGCAAGGGGAATCCAAACAACTCTTTAGAAAAAGAGTAGTCCAGCACAGTTTCAGTACACCACTAGCCATGTTCAAAAACCGGCAGGTAACAAGGCCGCTGAGACCCCATAACCTGAGCATTATTTTAAAAATAATAGTAATAACGATGTATTTAAGCAAAACTTCTGAAAATCTAACAAAGAGAAAAGATCGTTTAAGAAAAATAACGTCTTGGCAACAAAACCTTGGAGAATTTCTCCTTTGCAGCACCTGACAAGCGCCACTCTCCACCAAAGGACTAAGCGCGAAGCTGAGCTGCGAGGGGGTGCAGCGCGGTGTCCCCTCCCTATTGCCGGCCCTATCGCGACACACGCCACGCAAGAGTTCCGCGCGCTGCAGCAGCGACGCGGTTTGGGCTGGAAGCGTTCGCCGGTCCCCACGGGCGAACCGGAGCG